GTTGCATTATCTTATGGTCGAAGAAACATGTATTTGGCATTAAGAAAGCAGTAGCAATAAATTGAACGATCATATGTTATGCTAACGGTTGGGTCTTGTCCATCACATCATTGTCCTAACACTACTAGGAAAAAGCCCAGTAGTAGCGCGGGTTAAAAGCTAGTAGTAGCGCGGGTGCCTGTGCTGCTACTACGGTGCTACAGCTAACTAGTAGTAGTAGTGCGGTGCATCCCGCGCTACTAGTACATGTGTTAGTAGTAACCCGTGTTCGACACGCACTACTACTAACTATCTGTAACGCGTGTCTGTGACCCGCGCTACTACTATTAATTTGAAAAACCAAAAAAAAAATGTCGACCCCGTGTGTGCTGTCGATCATGCAAGGAGATCTCGACCATGACGCGCGCCTCGTGGAAGCCATTGAGGACGGCCGCGGAGGCCAGCCCGGCGTGGGCCAGGAGCTGGAGGACTTGGATCTTGGCATCGTGCATGGAGAGCAGCACCTCGCAGCGGCCGTCGCCGTTGAGGTTGGCGGCGGGAGGCGGTCCACGTCATGCTCGATTGGGAACCCGTCGTTTGACAGGTGGTACCATGCCTCCTGGAATGAGAAGTCGCCTCGTGCTGCCGAAGGAGGAGGGGGATGGTTCAGCTAGGGTTCCGGGTCGAATCGGAGAGGGGGGAAGGAGGAGGAGGGCTGACCTGGAGCGAGAAGAAGACGGTGAAGGCGGCGAGGAGGAGGATGCCGAGGTCGCACTTTCGCATCTTGGCGGCGGCGAGGAGCTCAGGTGACCGCCCACCAGAGGGATCTCAGAGAGGCAGGGGGAAGAAAGCAGAGTGTACCAGTGGCGGCAACCGCTGGAGTACGAGGGAGAGAGGAGGAAAGCGAGAGCGGGGGAAAGTGAGGGAGAGAGGAGGGATTCGGCCGAGGATATGGGGATTTCACCTACCTCGTACTTAGTATTGGCGAGGGGTATAAAACCGCGCTACTACTATCAACTTAGTAGTAGCACGGGTTTGTACTCCTCGCTACTACTATGGCATGTCCAGGGAGGGCACGGTAGAGACCGCTTAGTAGTAGCGCGGGTTAAAAACCCGCGCTACTAGTATCAACTTAGTAGTAGCGAGGGGTAAAAACTCGCGCTACCAGTAAGTAGCAGTAGCGAGGGTTATAAACCCTCGCTACTAGTAAGCGTCTGCCTATAAGCTTTTCCCTAGTAGTGTAATGATGTGGTCCCGTTATCAAATGACAACTCATGTCTATGGTTAGGAAACCTTAACCATCTTTGATCAACGAGTTAGTCTAGTAGAGGCTCACTAGGGACATGCTATCTGTTTATGTATCCACACATGTATTTAAGTTTCTGGTCAATACAATTCTAGCATGAATAATAAACCTTTATCGTGAATATGGAAATATGATAATAACAACTTTATTATTGCCTCTAGGGCATATTTCCATCATTTGAATTGATTAAGTTTGATCTCCACCAGAAAGAGCCAACCTTATGATCTCCTGGGAGTTGTCCATTACTATAGTGTGTCTCCCAAATTAAATTAACCCATAGTATATCATGCCTATTGAAGAACTTATGGAGGTTTTTCATGAGCAGAGTCTTGTTTTGTGTGTAGATATCCATGACTCCCAAGCCTCCTTGACGTTTGGGTCTACAAACTGTGTGCCATGCAAGTAAAGTTGGTCTGTGATCTTCCAAATCAGGGCTTCTCCATAGACAGTGTCTCAAGTACTTATGATCTATTTCTTGATGGTAATAGGTATGTCTAGGCAACACATGAAGAAAATTGGTAATGATGCAAGCACTAATTTTGACTAGGAGGAACCTTCCTGCCTGAGTCATATAAGTAGAAATACCTGCTAATCTCTTAGCAATTCTGTTGACTAGGGGCAAACATTGTTCCACAGTTGGTTTATAGATTCCTGAAGGCAGACCCAGGTAAGTAAAAGGGGATTGTCCTCTTGCACATTGCAGTGTGTGATTGAAAATATGTATTCTGTCTTCTGCAATGTTTATGGGCACCATGATTGATTTCCCATAATTGACTTTCAGTCCAGTGGCTGAGGCTAATGTGATTAACAAGACTTTGAGACATATCAACTTCTTTGCATTTGCTTGTATAAGAAACAGTGTATCATCTGCATACTATACTACTGGAAAATCAGGACGGGAGTTGACTTGCAGTGGTGGAGTAATTATACCCAGTCTCAAGGCCTTATTACGTATTGATTGTAGGAGATCAGCAGCCAACACAAAAACCAATGGGGAAAGGGGATCACCCTGCCTCACTCCTCGTCTACAGTAGATTTTTTTGCTAGGGACTCCATTCAACATCACAGCAGATGTGGCAGATGTGAAAATTAAGTGCATCCAGGAAATCCATTTCTTTGCAAATCCCTTTGCTCTGAGTATATCAATAATTTCCTGATGTTCAATAGTGTCAAAAGCTTTCTCAAAATCCAGTTTAATCATTAGCATCTCTTCTTTTGATTTATGACATTGATGGATATATTCATATGCCCAACCAAGGCAGTACTGGATCATTCTAGCTTTGAGGAACCCATGTTGATTGATATGTACCATCTAGAGAATAATTCTTTGTAATCTATTGGCCAGTAGTTTGGTAATTATCTTAAGTACTGCATTGAGCAGTGAGATTGGTCTAAAATCATTGGGTGAGACTGGCACTTCCTTTTTGGAATCAATGTAATGAATGATGTATTGATGCTTTCAAGCTTTATATTACCAGCATGAAAAGCCATGATAAGCTCAGTGATATCCACTTTAATGATGTCCCAACAAGCTTTGATGAACTCATTATTAAATCCATCAAGAACTGGAGATTTATCTGTACGAAGGTTTTTTACCACTTCATCAATTTCCTCCTATGTAAATTGCTTCTCAAGATCTTGGAAGATCTTAGGCTCAACTCTATGTTCATATAGATCATTCAAATCAAAGTGCATTGTGTGACCATTAGATTGTCCCAATCTTTTTTAAGGCCTCCCAAAGAATAGTTGTTTTTCCTTCATGGTCAGTAATTTCCACTTGATCATCATTCAGAAGCATACAATTTTATTATGTCTATGATTAAAAGAGGATTTGGTATGAAAGAATTTGGTGTTCTCGTCACCAAACTAAACACCTTTTATTTTCCCTCTTTGCTTCCAATAAATCTTCTAATTATTAAGTACTATCAATAGGAATTCCTTCAGCATAGACATACAATTCCCTTCAAATACTGAGAGATATCTATATTCCTCAATCAAGTCCCAGTGGAAAATACAAGCATTTAAATCCTCATACTGCTTTATAAGACAGGATAAACTCTTGGCCGACAATTTTAAAGATCTTCTCAAATTCTTAAACTTTGCATTGATTTTTTTTGGCTGGATCAGTGTAACCCACAGGAATATTCCAGGCTGCTTGAACAATGTCTTTGAAAGAGCTGTGTTTCAGCCAATAATTTTCAAACTTGAATACCATGGACTTGGGAATGTAGTCCAAACCAATATTCCACATTAAACAATGTTTATTTGCGGACCAATTTCAGAAGTGTCGCTTCTATTCATTTCCGTTCTCTAATCTACTAGTCAATTAAGTCTGAACCGAGAACCGAACCTAAATCTCGGTCGACTGAATCTTCGGTTAGGAATTTTCCCGGTGACCAATCGGTCATCCTATTTTGAAAACCAAATTTCTTCAAAAGCTGAAGAACCGAACCGAACGGTTCGGTTACACAGAATGCCAAGCTCTCCAAACACCTCCACTTTCTCCCAGTTGAACATGTGATATTTCTTACACCGAGTCTTCTTGCCAAAGCAATCTTCTCCCAAAACAATCAAATATTTTATTTACTCCCTTTGGCAAGCCATAAAAGTAAAGCATGCACAACGGTTTATATTTTCTAGACTACTTACTCTGGAGCAAAGCCCCGGTCCTTTATTCAAAACCAAATAGTATGTACAGGGGTCAAGTAGTCAGCTACTAAGGGAGGCTGGCAATCTAAGCCAGAAGATTCGGCCTACCACAAGCCTTCACTCTAAAAGAAAGAAGGGTTATATCTTGTACAAATTTACAACACCATGAGCCAAAAGTGGCATAGCTCTAAATGTCCTTCCATTTATAACAATCCAGATATTCCAATTCCAAGCAGAGTCGGCATAACCTCGAAGAAAGGAAGATCAAACCTCATGTTTGCCCCGGCAATGCATGGTCTGATCTCAGACCCATGTGGTTGAACTAGCGGGAGAGAAGAGATGAAGTCTGTAACACATTACACATTGGTTAATTGCTCAAAGAAGCAGTGAGCAAAGAGAACATGCCTCCAATGGATACTACTTTCCTTGCGAATATTCTAATCTCACAAATACACGCCATCATTATTGTAGATTTATGGATGGTTGAGCCTTTGAAGGCAGAATCCAACAACAAATAACATAAGTTTTTCCTCGACATTTGCTTTTGCCCCTCAATTTTATTTTATTTTATTGAAAAAGGAGGATTACCCCCGGCCTCTGCATCAGAATGATGTACATCATCTATACTAATTCAACATTAGAAAACAAGCACAAGGCCTCACTTTATATAGATAAATCGACGAGCTCCACAAGAACACGATTATTGAATACAAAGGTTCAGCAAGCAAAAGGGAAATAGTTCGGGCTGGGCAACAGCTCGCACAGGTAATCTCGACATAAAGAGAAAGAAAACAAGCTACGGAGCCGGGAGCTGCTGGCGAGCCACACCCTCGGCAGGCCAAGAAGGACCCATCCAATCCGCCGTGATCCCGACGCCAAGCCAAGCGAGCATCCGCCATTACAGAATCGATCGAGGCTACTAATTCAACATCCTCGACAGTGAACTGAAACTGCCACATCATCCCTTCATTTTATTGCACCCATCCGATTATTAATTTCTTCAAACTAACTGCATGCCATGCATCCAGCATTGGATTATTTGTTCGAACATAGCACCACTTCTCCATCATACGGAAACGGAGGCAGTCACGGTTGCGTTGTTATTGGTAGTCTTAAGCAAGGGTTTTGGGACGGAGTTGAACTTGGCGAACCACTTGGCCGACTTCTTGAGCTTGCGCTTGTTGCCGTCCTTCTTGTCGATGTAGACCAGGCCGAATCGTGAGCTGTAGCCCAGGCTCCATTCGAAGTTGTCGATCAGACCCCACGTGAAGTGGCCCCGCACGTCCGCGCCCTGGCTGAAAGCACAGATACATACATGAAAGCGCGCTTAGCAAGAATTCAACAATGTGTCTGTGTGTATGTATACACATTTGAGTAATCAGTGTGCCATTAGGGTATGTATGTATGTATGTGGGTAAGAGTACAAAATAAGTGAAAAAAAGAGGCAGGGTTTTAGCGTCCGTAGTTACTCTATTGCGTCCTTGACGGCTGAGATGTGACGCTGGAGGTAGTCTAGCCTCTTCCAGTCATCCAAAGGATCTCTCATGGTTGGGTCGCTGTCCACATCAGCGATTCCTGCACACACACAAGTTAAGAAGTAATCCATCACACTTTCTTCAAAAAAAACCTCCCATGAACCATTACATCATATCCATGGATTAGGTTCTTGTCTGATTTAAGGGAACTAGTACCAGTTGAGCACAAAGATTGCTTACACATTAGTGTGTGTCAATCTTCATGAGGATTAGTGTAATGACGTCAGATTTTCAACTAGTTACTTTTGATGTCACTTTTGATGTAATTAGGGGATCATGAAAATTTAACTAGTTACTTTTGATGTCAGATTTTCAACCTTTTTATTAACTAAAAACTAGTACCTAAGCAACCCCTTGACAAAAGGTTTACAGATTTGCTGTAGGTCAACTAAAGTTTGATATGAACCGATGATTGATCATTGGATTACTACAAAATCCAATGCTACACACACACACACACACACACACACACACACACACACACACACACAAATGTCACTACTTACCGTTCTCAGTGATGAAGATGGGTGGGTTTCCGTATTTCTCCTTCATGATCAGAAGGAGGTCTGTTAGGCCTTTTTGGTACATGTAAATCCAATAAGTCCCTGTCTGCAAATGGGTGTCCAAACTTTTAATTAATAACGAGAAAAAACTTCAGATTTGTTTAAGCTTTACTTCAAAAACAAAGCATTATCATGTCTATGCCACTTAACCTTTTTGTTCAAAAGTTTAACTAGAGTCCTGGCTGACTAGTTCTACCGTAAGAATTTGGTGAAAATAATCTACATTATCACTATCATCATATATGTCGTATGCAAAATTAACCAGGTAGTAGGAAGATACATACTATAGGACCGATGTCATTCCCATCACTCCCTTTAGCTGCTCGAAGAGAAGAAAAAGGTGCAGGATTAGCATGAGGACATGAAATTTCTCAAAGGATCTGTAAAGTACTAAGGTTTGTCCTCAACCATATTTTCTTACTTTCTGAACTGGCGTAAGCGTCGTCGGTGTTCAGCTTTGGCGTAAAGTCTGACGAAATGTCAACATGCTTGGAGAACCTGGAGGTGTAATAGTTGAGCCCCATGATGTCACATGAGGACGCTAGCTTCTCCTGCTCCTCCTTAGTGAACATGGGTAGACGATGTCCAATCAGTGATCTCATGGAGAAGGGGTAGTCACCACGAACAACTGGCTCCAGGAACAATCCGAGGTTGTAGTCGATGGATCTTTCCCGGGCCTGGTTGTCGAGGAAGGAGTCTTGGAATGGCTCGTAACCCATTACATCAAAGGCCATCCCTATCTTGGAATCCCCATGCTGCAGTCGGTCCATCAATATAACTAAATTAAATACACAAATACATACGACTAGTTGTTGCTTGTTTATTAGATAATGTAGATGTCTCTCTTTGTGTATGTACCTTGTTGTAACAAGCTTTGAACAGCTCAACAGCCTCAGCATGAGCTAAGAGGATGTGGTGACCAGCAGTGTATGGCTCTCTGAGCGAGTCTCCTTTTGGGACGGCACAATCCATCCCTGGCGAGCACCTCCCAGGAGCATGAATCCCCTCACCATAGGAGAAACAACAATATGTATGTGGCTCGTTAAAGGTGAACCAGTTGTTCACCCTGTCGCCGAAGTTCTTAAAGCACACCTCGGCGAATTGTTTGTAATCATCTCTGGAAAAAAAACCAAACCCGAGCGATGTTCAACAAAATTGTTTCTTAGCTTAACAATAAGTACTCCCTCCGTTCGGAAATACTTGTCATTAAAATGAATAAAAGGGGATGTATCTAGATGTATATTAGTTTTAGATACATCCCTTTTTATCCATTTTGATGACAACTATTTCCGGACGGAGGGAGTAGTTATGTTAGTTTACTGATGCATCATTGAATGACAGTACAACATTGTTTGTGTTCTGAAAAGAAACGTTTTTCTACTCATGGTCCAATAATGGCCTTCCTCCAATCGAATTTAACAATATTATAGTTCGTAGTTTTTATACATATTGTAATTGCAATTACTGATCTTTCTTTAGACCATTTTCTTACAAATCAATTTTCTTTTGTTTGCTGCATACTTACACAATCTGCCTATTTAAGAAGCTGCCGTACTTGTCCTCCAGTGCTTGAGGAGTGTCCCAGTGCCAAATTGTAACATATGGCACTATGTCTGAGTTTCAAAAAACAAATAATTATTTGTGCAAGCCCTTGCGAGTCTGACTCATTAAGCACTAATCAAACAAAGAAGAAAATGGTTTTCACCGTTATCTATCAGCGAGTTGATCAGCTTATTGTAGTAGTCGATGCCTGCCTGGTTTACTTTTCCCGTCCCATCTGAAAGCCATAGTAAACATGTGCTGAAATTAGGACCCAAATATTATAACAAGTCTTATCGGCTGCGTCTAATTTGTAGAGGACATCTTTATTGTTCCTAACTTATTCACCATACAAAATATACATGGTTATTTTGTATTTACCTGGCAGTATTCTGGACCAAGCGATGGAGAACCTATACACTTTCATGCCCATGTCCTTCAGCGCTTTGACATCCTCCTGTCAGCCATAAATGATGACATGAATAATGATGACAACGTATTGTCATGCATATCTTTATTTTTGTTAGAAGTGCATATTCCAAATGGTTTTTCCAAAAAAAAATGCAACGACATAACATCAATGCTGTCATAAGATTTGTTAGATTTTTGTTTGGAAAAACCATTGGTCCCGTCGGAGTACTTACTTCATATAGATGGTAGGAGTTTGCTGCAACGTCCCCATTGGTCTTGTCGGATATGCGCTCTGTTCGTATATATATACATAAAATTAAGGAGAAGGACGCACGAAAGAATAATATGATATATATGTTTATTACACTCAAAAGGTATATGTTACCAGGATACGTGTGGCAGAAGTGGTCCCAAGTGCTTGGCCCCTTGCCATCTTCATTCCAAGCACCTTCAATCTAAACGGATGACGACATATATAACATTTTGTGCAATCGAACAACCCACTAAACATGCATTTTGACATCATGTTTTCCCTTAGGTATTTGTTATCATTGAAACAGTTGACAGCATTATTTTCTTTTAAATTAACAGATATACGGTTGTGCAAGAAAATAATTAGTACCTGGTACGCTGAAGTGGAGGCACCAAAGAGGAAGTCCTTGTTGAACCAGTCCCTTTTAGGGATTTGCCGGGGCTTGAGCTTAGTGAACACAGGCCCAATGGGCTCTGCTGGCTTTGACGGTGTGCCTGCCCTGATGGTGAGGTTACAGTGTTAGAGTTATAATATAAGTCATGTACCCCTTTGTATTTATCCCGTTGTATAAGCGGTTTCCTGCATATGTTCCACACCTGTACATGTATATATATCGGCCTATGGCCTCATGGGAATACAAGTTGCATATTTCCTAACATGGTATTAGAGCTAGGTCAATTTTTTGCACGCTGCAACTCGTGCGATTGATCCATCTGATCGATTTCCACCTGATCGATCTCCAACCGAACCGGGCCGCTCGAAGCTCATCCTTCTCGATCGAAACAGGGCCCCGCCCCGCAGGTCTTCGGCCCCGATCTCCTCCCGCTTCCGTCCGGCCCGGATCTCCTGTTGCTCTCGTCCGGCTGCCCCTCCCGTCCGGCCCCGGTCCCGTTCGTCCCCGGGTGCTGTCGATCCGGCTGGATCGCACCTCCAGCCAGTACTGCCTCCAGCCCGATCGTCCTACTCCCGCTTGCCGTTGGTGTCCCAGCTGGCCCCAAGCAATGAAGGTCCTCCCTCCAGCTGGCCCCAAGCAACGCAGGTCCTCCCTCCAGCCGGCCCCGCCTGCCCAGGACTCCCGCAGCCCTGCTCCAGCCGGCCCCGCCTGCTCTCTCTCGTCAGATTCCACAAAAAATGTCTGCTGCATCGGGCTATGTTGCTGTCCCTCGCTATCCGGTGATCTTTCATTGTACTAACTACACCGAGTTCACTGGCTTTATGCGCATTCACATGCGTGGCATCCGTCTCTGGGGTGTTCTTTCTGGCGAGGTCTGCTGTCCGCCGCGTCCGGTTCCTCCAGTTGCCCCTACTCCGCCGACTCCACTGGTTCTTTCTACGGATGCTAATCAGGCCGCCAAGGATGCGGCTAAGCTTGCTGATGAGGCTGCTGATCGTGCTTATGATGAGAGGGTTTTGGCTTATGAGGAGGCTCTTCAGACGTATCATGGTGCTTTGTCTGTTTACATTTAGTGGCTTGATGATGATGCTCGTGCTGCAGCTGTTCTCACTGCTAGTGTTCTGCCTCAGTTTGCTTCTGAGATTCTGGGTCTTCCTACTGTCTTTTAGATGTGACCTGTCTTCGTCAGCGCTATGAGCCCTCTGGTGATGCCTTATACCTTTCTGTGGTTCGTCAGGAGCATGCTCTTCAGCAGGGTGAATCTACTGTTGATGATTTCTATCTACAGAGTTCTGCTATCTGGCACCAACTTGATTCTCTCCGCAGTGCTGGTTGTCGTACTTGCCCCTGTTGCCAGGCTGTCCAGGCTAATTTGAAGTTTCATCGCGTCTATGAGTTCCTGTCTCGGCTCCCTAAGGAGTTTGAGCCCCAGCGTGCTCAGTTGTTTGCTCGTGGCCGTATTTCTCTCATGGAGGCGCTTTCAGAGATACGTGCTGAGGAGACTCGCTTACGTGGTGCTGGTTTGCTGGAGGTTCCCTCTGTGCTCGCTACTCGGGCTTCTTCCACTCCACCTGCTGCACCAACCCCTTCTCGCTCGAGTGCTCCGCCGCTCTTGCCCACTCCTTCTGGAGGCTCAGGTGGCCCCCGTCCACATTGTGACTACTGCAACAATGATGGTCATATTGAGTCCTAGTGCTACACGAAGCGGAAACACTTGCGCAAGGCACGATCATCATCTTCAGGGACTTCGGCATCTCCCTCGGCAGCTTCAGCCATTGCTTTGACAGAGCAGGATATTCTAAGACTTAAGCGTCTGCTCGCGGCTTCAGGTTCTTCCTCGATGGGTACTGCTGGTTCTGTGACTGATGCTTCCCGCACTGAGCAACCAACCTCTACACAGTCAGGTACATCCCCATGGGTTCTGGACTATGGAGCTTCTTTTCATATGTCTTCTCATTCTTCCACTATGACGCCCGGGTAGTCAAGCTACAGTAACCCTATGGTATTGATGCCATGTCACCATGATTACCGTTGATAATCTTGTGTTAGTTCAGAACCGATCCAAATTCAAATTTGAATTAAAGTCAAACAATAAAAGTTTTCAATTGTCAAATCTAAAATGTTCAAATTGCAGAAAATAAATCATAGATGATTATGGTGGAGAAACCGCGCCTATATATAATGTTTAAGTACTACAAGATCAATAAAACAGTAGCAAAAACAATTATTTAAATTCCTTTTGTAATTAATAAAATTTCAAACTAATTTATCTGAGGACTAGACCTTTTGTGACTATGGACTAAGCTGAAATACTAATTTAGATAATAAGTGTATATTTTACCAAAACTAAGAAAAAATAGGAAACAAAACTAAATCAAAAAAAGGTGAAATAAATAAAAAAAGGG